CTCTTGAAGAACTACAGACAGATTTCCCTTCTGAGCCGCGTCTACGTGCTGTTTTCGAGAGTCATTCCGAATCGTCTCGCGCGCAGACTTGACGACTTCCAGCCTCCCGAACAAGCCTGTTTCCGAAAAGGCTTTAGCACAATAGACCACATACATACCATTCGGCAAATTGTACAGAAGTCCGAAGAGTACAATTTGCCACTATGTCTGGCGTATGTGGACTATGAGAAAGCCTTTGATTCCGTCGAAATTTGGGCGGTGCAGCAGTCCCTTCAGCGGTGCCAAGTTGACTGTCGGTATATCGAAGTGTTGAATTGCTTGTACAGTAGGGCTACGATGGCTATCCGAGTACAGAATCAGAGTACGAAACCTATCCAATTGCAGAGAGGTGTAAGACAGGGTGACCTCATATCCCCGAAACTCTTCACCGCTGCATTGGAAGACGTTTTCAAGCTTCTGGACTGGAAAGGATACGGTATCAACATCAATGGCGAGTACATCACTCACCTTCGATTTGCCGACGATATAGTCCTTATGGCAGAATCGCTGTAGGACCTAAGCACTATGCTCAATGACCTCGATAGTGTTTCCCAACGGATAGGTCTTAAGATGAACATGGACAAAACAAAGATCATGTTCAATGTCCATGTCACACCTATGCCGGTAGTTGTTGGGAGCACTAAGCTCGAGGTTGTTGACGAGTATGTTTACCTGGGACAAATAGTCCGACTAGGTAAGTCCAACTTCGACCGAGAGGTCAATCGACGGATTCAACTCGGCTGGGCAGCGTTCGGGAAGCTACGACACATCTTCTCGTCAGACATACCTCAAAACCTGAAAACGAAATTGTACAACCAGTGCGTGTTGCCAGTGATGACTTACGGAACTGAGACGTGGTCCTTCACTGCTGGCCGTATAAGGAAGCTCAAGGTCGCTCAGCGAGCTATGGAGAGGGCTATGCTCGGAGTTTCTCTGCGTGATAAACTTACGAATGAGGATATCCGCAGTAGAACCAGAGTAACCGACATAGCCCAACGGATTAGTAAGCTGAAGTGGCAGTGGGCCGGCCATATAGCTCGAAGAACCGACAACCGATGGGGAAGAAAGGTTCTCGAGTGGCAGCCTCGTACCGGTAGGCGAAGTGTAGGGCGTCCCCCCACGAGATGGAGTGACGACCTGGTAAGACATGCAGGAAGTCGATGGATGCAGGTGGTTCAGGACCGTGCTTTGTGGCATTCTGTGAGGGAGGCCTATGTTCAGCAGTGGACTTGTGAAGGGCTGTAATGATGATGATGAACGATGTTATTTGTAATCATGTCAGCACTCAGAAGTGTGATGAGAATATGAGTGCGCTCATAGACACCAACTGATGGAACAGAAAGTAATAATTTAATGCGTCGAAAAGCTAAATAAAAAAATTGTTATTTACCCAATCGCACATAAACAAATCATTAAAATAAAACCATTAAATAGATTTAAGGTCAAACGGGTCAGAGCTAGACTTAACAGGTTTTCCTCAACACCTAGACGTCTCATTGTGACTGGATCGTTTACATTACGTAACCTAACCTTGTCTGTTGTTCCGGCGTTTCGTAACGTTCACGTGCACGCTAGCACGTGGCAGGTGGGTGAGGGGAGGGATGAGTTACATAGTATTAACTAAGTTTTCTATGTAACTCATGCAATTATATAATACTGTGCTTAGTCATACATTATGCTGATGGACAATATTCACAATTTATTCTACCGGTTCGATAATTGCTTTATATTGCAGTATTTACCGATATCGTGACCAACCAACCGCGCAACATAGTTGTAAGTGTCTATGTACAGAGGAATTCATGAACTAATTCCTCCCTCTTCATTTCATCATCGAACTACCAGGCGCTGGTTTCCACCCCTTATTGTCGACATACCGACATACCGTATCATCAGGTGGGACAGTATTCGAGCACTGGCTTTTAATAGTAAAAAAATACACACGGTAGAGCCACGCTGCATCTATATTATGGTTATAGTACGAATGGGTCGACTATGCTAGGGAAGGCCCACGCTCTCAAAGAAATCTCAAAGAAAATAGCGGCTTAATGTTGCTATGTTTCTTTTGGTGTAGAGAACCGGAAAGCATTTTTACTGGAAACGAGGCTTACCTTCTTAGTCCTCAGGGGTGACAACGCATCTGCATTTTGGTTTTTAATCGAGAATAGATGTAGATGTCTATGAGCCACAGCACTTACCATCAGGTAGAGTGTGCGCTTTGTCACACTTAATACTAGAAAAGATGGCCCAAATCAGTGTTTATAGCCATCATAGAGCAATTAATAATTTTAATGGTGATGGCACCGGGAGATGAATTCGTATTTCTCGCATATAAAAAGGTGCACAGCCTCCTCTCATGTCTGAGTGGTTTATAGAGTAATTAGTTCGACGTTTTACTTCAATACGTGTTGACGAACTTAACATTGAACTGAACATAACATTTTTTACGTGGTAGAGCCATGCTGCTGCTATATTAGTAGTATAGTTGTAGCACGAATGGGTCGGCTCGACCGGGGAAGGACCACGCTCTCATAGAATACCAGCGTAAAATAGCAGCTTAACGCTGCTGTGTTTCGTATGGTGAGTGTAGAGAACCGCAGACCCTTTTTACTGGAAAAAAGGCATTCCATCTTAGTCAGCTTCCATGATATACAACATTCCTCATGATATATTCCCTAAAATTTTCAATTAACAACTTCATTGGAAGGGACGCGGATTGAACCCGGACTACTCGCGTACTGTGAAATTTACAGCGAGCTCTTAGTCTCTGAACTTTCACAGCTCTGGAATATAATGAAATGAACGCTTAACGCCAGACTTCTGAGATAGTCTATAGTTATACCACTTGAGTAAAGAAACCGTACGTGGTAAGCATTTTCATAAGCATATGTAGAAAATGAAACCATTGAAGAACATCGCGAAAATGATCGTAAAGCAGAGATTTTTCGCCAACTCTATCCATTATAACATAAAGCCGTATTTATAAATAATTATTCAACATTTTTAAACAAAAAATAATTATTTGAGGAAGTTTCAAACAACTACTGTATGAGTCTGAAGACTAACTCCTAAGTAAAGCAAAATCGTGCGCTTTATTGTGATTATTATTAGAAATTTTATAAGTTGGAAAAAATCATGTTTTTCAATTGTTTCACGGAATCCAATATGACGCAAAAGGACTCGTGACGTAATTTTTTCCCGTCTCGAGATCCTTTTAAAACAACTTGCCTCGTGCAAAGCTGGTAACATTTTTATATAAACGTTTGACGTTATATGACTGAAATTTGTCAGACGCGTGGATGAAACCCTTGTAACAAGAACGAGCTATGAAAGTTATGGGAAATAAAAGGGCGTGTACAATTAATTGAGAAGAGATTTTATTTAGTTCAGAATTGAAAGGAAATTTTGGAAAAGATTTCATTTCATTTTTAAAAAACATATAAATGGATTAAAGAGCTTACAATTATTAAGAAAGGTAAATCCTTTAACAATGTTTGATGACAATCGAGCACACAGTCCACTTGGCGCTAAGTGTATGCTGTGGTCCACCTACATTTCCTTGTTGTCCTCAATAAGAATAAAAATTCAGATACATTGACACCCTTGAGGACAAAGATTGTATGCCTCACTACCACTAACCATTATCTCTGTCTCGTCAACCACCATACGAAACACACTAATATCATGATGCAGTTTAGTATTTCCCGGAATCGGGAAGAATCAGGAACTTGGCGGTATTTCACCTCCGTACATCAAAAAGCACATAAAGCAACGGCTTCTGCGTCTGATTTCTCTCAGGTCTTGTCGGATTGCCGTCCCGACGAAATATGACGCACACATTTTACCACTTTGGAAGTGTCTCTCACGAAAACTATTCAGTTTAGAAAAAAATTATATAAGAAACTTCAATATCATTTTTAAAGACCTATCCATAGATACCCGACATGTATGGGTTTGATAAAAAAAATTTTTCGAGTTTCAGTTCTAAGTATGGGGAACCCCAAAAATTTATTGTTTTTTTTTTCTGTTTTTGTGTGAAAATCTTAATTCGGTTCACAGAATACATCTACTTACCAAGTTTCAACAGCGTAGTTTTTATAGTTTCGGAAAAAAATTGCTGTGACATACGGACGGATAGACAGACAGACATGACGAATCTATAAGGGTTCCGTTTTTTTGCCATTTGGCTACGGAACCTTAAAAATAATATAAATCCCATTACACAAGTGCAGTTTCAATATTACATTATAGACAAACATTTAAATCAGTTTTAAGGTATGAACAATAATGGTCAACTTATTAGAAACAACAACAAAAAAGTATAAAAAACAATATTTTAAAGTATTAGTAATTAGTATTGTTATTTACGAAATAGATACTATCCACAGCCTACCAGTAATTATAATTAATATTAAGTGACGTATCTCTTATTTTCAACAACAGCACTGCAACGACGTAGCATTGATTCAATCAATTTCATACATTTTTTTCTAGGGAGATTGAATTCCATGCTTCAACAAATGTTTCATATAGTTCGTTTTGACTGGTGTTACGTTTGTTTGAGACTTTCTTTTTAACAATATACAAGAATAAGATATTTTCTATCGGGTTTAAATCCGGACTATTTGCTGGCCAGTCTAAAACGGATATACACTGTTCGCTAAAGAAACATTTGACGCTACTAGCCGTGTGTTTAGGGTCATTGTCATGCTGAAAGATCCAGGTTACAGGCAAATGATCGTCCGAGTAGGGAATCATTGTATGCTCTAAGATATTTTTGTATTGCCATTGATCCATTGTACCTTCAATCTTCCGAATGGGTCCAACTTCACATTCGGAAAAACACCTCCAAACTTTAAAGTTACCGCCACCGTGCTTGACTATAAACATTGTGTATTTATAATTAAAAGCATCGTTTACAGGTCGTCTAACATAGCGCTTTCCGTCGGAATTTACCAAATTTATTTTTGTTTCATCTGTAAATAACACTTTTTTCCATTCTCGTACCGTCTAATTAACATATTTTTTAGCGAATAATAATCGCTTTTCTCGGTGTTGCTTGGTAAGAAGCGGTACCTTTCGAGAGATTCTTCCAAACAATTTAGCTTCCACTAATCTTCGGCGTATTAGTCTTGACCAGATGTTTCTCGGGTCATCAGGCGAAAACTCTTCATTTTTAATCTGGTTGGAGTCTTTACTTGGGTCTTTTTTAGCAATACGAACGATTAGCATATCTTCTCTGGGAGAGGTTTTTCTTGGCCGAGCCTTTCTAAGAACATTTTCAACAGTTCCGTGTGTTTTATAATGATCAATTGCATTAAAAACTTTCTTAACAGAACAATTTAAATGCTCAGCTATTCTTATGTACGCCCACTGTAAATGATCTATATGTAAATTAACAATTATTTGCCAAGTTGACGCGTCACAACTTTTATTTTTACCCATTTTGAACAAAATAAAATTCAGATGAAATTTGAATTGCCGCCAAAATAATAGAAAAAGCTAAGAAAGAAATGTTAAAATGAAGGAGCTATGCTTAAAAACCGATCAATTTTTTTTTTTTAAAATTCGAATTACCCGCTTCGGAGCGTAGTAATCTACATAACCGGTATATTAGGCCGTTATACGTTATATGTTCCACTTTTTCGATTCTTATTGGAAGACAGAGAAGAAGAACTTCCACTTTTTTTACGTGGTAGAGCCATGCTGCAGCTACATTAGTAGTATAGTTGTAGCACGAGTGGGTCGGCTCGACCGGGGAAGGACCACGCTCTCACAGAATACCAGCGTAAAATAGCAGCTCAACGCTGCTGTGTTTCGTATGGTGAGTGTAGAGAACCGGAGACCCCTTTTACTGGCAAAGAGGCATTCCATCTTAGTCCTCATGGGTGACAACGCATCTGCATCTTGAGTCTTTATTGAGGATAGATGTAGATGTCTATGGGTCACAGTAACCACTTACTATCAGGTAGACTGTGTGCTCGTTTGTCACCCTATCCTATATAAAAAAAGAAACATTTGCTCACGTGTGTGCGTGTGTGAGTTTATATTTCGTTGATTTCTCACCAGTGTATTCTAAAGTTCGAAGACAGTAGCACGTGCTCTGACAATTTTAATGTTTTCAAGGGTAGTTTTTAACAAGGGTAGGTTGAAAGATTATGAAATTGTATCCTAAAGCATGAAACAATCATTATTTAACTATTTTACCCATATTAAGGTTTTTAATGTTATTTTATGATTTTTGAAAATAAGGGGTAGTTTTCACCCCTAAAAAACAAAAAGCGTACAACGGCACAATATAGAAAATGAACTAGAGGGTGAAATAAGCCTAATCCCAAATCGGTACTGGACGAAAAAATTGCGAGGTTTTACCATGTTTTTAGCTTCATTTCCTGGACTGTTTGAGATCTAATGTCTTTCATTCAGTTTGTCTCTGCGCCACGCTCACAATATATCTTATGCGACGAATTTCCACATTGAGACTTAATGCTGCATATTTATGCATATATATAATGAGTATGGGTTTGATGACGAACGTAATCTGTATATGAAACTTGATATAAATTTTAATACGACTTTTTATTCATCACTATATGTATATTCAATATTTGTTTTATTTAGTTTTTGTATTATTAATTAATAGCTACCAAATTTGGACCTTTGGAGCTTTAATATATTTTGTCTTAGACTTAGCGACTTTAAGGTAGGTAGGTACGAAGGTATTAAATTATATGGAAATTATTTTATTTTAAGGTTTTTGAAAGTTTAAGTATTTGACCCTATTGGTAGTATAAAGTTAAACAAAATCTCAAGATCAAGGTAACAATTATTCCAACAAGTTTAAGGTAACGACTAGCACCAACCTTGACTATTTCATTAAAAATAATTACATAATGAAATAATTTAAAATTAAAATTTTTGTAGAAACTACTTCAATATAAGTTATTAAGAATAACTCAAAAATTATTGTTCAAACCTTGATCAAATTTATATGGAACCACACGAGAAGCACCAGATTTCAAATAAAGAAAGAATCATCGAAATCGGTTCACCCAGAAAAAAGTTATGAGGTAAACACACATAAAAAAGAACATAGGTACAGTCGAATTGAGTACAGTCTCCTTTTTGAAGTTGGTAGAAAAATACTGTTGAATTGAGAATATAATCTGTAGTCTGTACTAAATTACTTAAAAATTAAAAAGAATTCACTTTACTTACGAATTAAAAACAGCTTCCTCATTAAGGGCCGATTTTTCAATAAAAGTTGTCCATCGAATTAATTGTAATTTGTAACCTGGCTAAATATAAACGATAAAAAATTTAACTATTTTATTCATACAACAATAATTTTCAATTTATTTATGTTATATTTTATCATATGAATAAATATCTCAGGATTGAAATATCGGCCCTTACATAGTAGCGTTTACCGTGTAGTGGCGGTGTAAGAATATCCGTTACTCCATATCATCACGTCAGTGGCAACTACGGCCAAAATCCCCTTTATGAGGCAATCTATGGGGGAGGCCTATGTTTAGCAGTGGACTTTAATGGGCTGTAACTTTGGTTTTCACCTTACTGTTAAAAAGTACTAGAAAAACTAAGATGACAAACGTGATGGGAGATTATCAAGTGAATATAAAATATTTTTCTGTAATAAATACCTTAATCTTTTTTTTTCAATATTTTCCTCCTTCAATGTCATCGTAACTATAGCATTGACTTGGCATCGACAATGATCCCCGATTTGGAAGACATTATTCATGCGCATTGTTTATTTGATTGTGTTTAATACATTCCTTACGGAGAAGTACACAGCATAATTAAATGACCTCCAACGTTGAATATACAGACAGATAAACTGACAGTTAATATTAAATGGCTCTATATATAAACTACATGTTTTTTTTTCAATTGGCAATTTTAACATGTAGTGGCGCTATAAGGAGATGGGCAGCAGCGTCTTTCTCAGAACGATTCAAAAAAATTGCAGTTGCCAACCTGCTTGCCGAGCGTGACAACAATGACCATTATCCCCCCTGTGAGACAATCTATGGGAAAGGTTGTGATGTTCAGCAGTGTAAGGTAATAAGCTGTAACGGTAACATGTTTTTTTCAATTGTACTATAAAATATACGGCTGTTTTTTTTTTACCTTCATATCCAGTCAAGTACAACCGCGTGCCTACTTTTGGCACCAAACAACAGTGTGTTCACTGCCTGAGGTCTAAGATGGTATGCGTCGTTCCCAGTGAAAAGGGTCTCTAATGAAAAGGATCTCCCAGCAGCATTAAGTTGCTGTTTTACGCTGGTATTCTGTGAGAGCGTGATACTTCGACCGGTCGAGCCGATTCATTCATGCTACAACCGTAATATAGCTGCAGTGTGGCTCTACCACGTATGATTCTTTTGACTCTCGTACAAGGCCCATTTAAAGTTAAAAAAAAAACATTATGTAACAAAAATGTTTCTAAAATTGAAAAAACAATTTTGCAATCAGAATAACACTTTGCGGCCAGTATTTAAAATTCTAATAAAAACAATGTGTTGTTATTACGTAACCTGTTTTTGCGCTGTTATCATTCATTTATTGGAATTTTAGAACATCCTGGTTCGTAAACAAAGAGAAATTTCACAATGATATAATAACATTTGTCACTTATCGCAACGCTCCGATAAAAACTACAAATGCGACGCTTAGTCACAGTGTTATTTAAAGGATGATATGTGCTTTATTATCTATACAACGATTTTCCATAACCGTGAATACTCTTAATTCTTATCGTAAGATAATATTTTGTAGAAAAAAAATTGTGCGGTCGGGGGACCCCCGTCAGGAACAAAGCCCCTTAAATGTATGTAAACAGCAAATACTTGTTTTAAGTTATATGATTTATTAACTTACTTTTCTAAATTTGCATTACTTACACTTGCTGCAGTTTCTGTTTCTTGACTTTCCATTATAAAATCGCAATAATGACACAATATAAAATTAAAACAATAAGAAAAAATAAGTTTAAATAATATTTACACGTGTTTAGAATTGAGGTTATACAGCTGACCGCGCACAAGGCATCGTGTTCGAATCTTGATATTTGCACGAACACACACAACACATACAACCGTATATAATAGAAAGAGATAGAGAGAAAAAGAAAGAGAAAAAGAGGGAAAGGTCGTCTGAAGGGGGAATAACGACTTTTCCTTGCGTGACGGTTTCTGTTTTCTACCAGTTCACTCTACCCACTGTAAGCCGCGTAGAAGAATTTCATTCCAAAAAAATAAGTACCATTCTTTATTGAAAAACAAATTAACATCGTATCACATTACTCTTCCAATTTCTAACAAACAAAGTAGCTAAAGCGGCAAATTATTTCAATATTGCATGCCTTAAGCGCAAAGCGCGTAGGTATGTTCTAGTAGCGCCTAAAAATCACGATTCTAACGTTTTGTCGCATAACAATCATATTGAACATACAAATGATATAAAAAGCACATTATCAGAAAGATAAATGATTGTTGAACTTATTAATATTTTCTTTAAATCGATTAATTGCTATTTTTACATAAAAGGTGATTTTAGTGGCTTACGGTGTAGATTTATCACGTCCGCATTGAGTGGTAAACACGACAACTTTTGAAAATATCAATGGTTTAACTCAATCTATTTTTTAATCTCTTCATCTATCATGTGGGAAGCCATGGAATGTAAATGGCAGTGTAATTTTGTTTTGTTTAGTTATAATTATTTTTTTTCGGCTGCGAAATGTAGGAATTTTCGGTGTTTTGGCACCCTTGTCTAAATTTATTTTACTACATAGACTCCCTCACTCACTCACTTCGGCGTCAAACGCAGTCGTGAGTGGATACTGTATCGGTTGTTTGCACCGGCTCAAAAAGATCGCTGTACAAATACAAAATTTCATACATGCTTGACTATTATAATAATCAGAGATTTTTATTACAATATTTTAAAAGCACAGAATAAAAATAATATTAGTACATACTAAAAGTATGTAGGACGTATATACTTAAATACGTCTTTGACTTTATAGAGTGACCTGAATGATGATATGATGGTCATATGAGCAATAAGAGTCGTGCACTTTTGGATTTTCCAAACTTTTTTTAAATTGAAGTTTGACATAAAATTATTGGAAAATTGGAAGTATAATAGGATTATTAGTGAAAACTTGTGTGTATTTAAACTACTTAAAAAATTCCGTATAATCATGTTATATGTAATTTTTTTGATGAGCTTAGGGCATGCACAATTGGATTACCAATATTTTTGTAATACTTATTGATATAACAGTTTGCCTGACAAAAATGCCAAGAGACATTAAGTTCGCTTATTGTTAGCTCGAAGAATCTACAACCTGATGGGGAAGAAAGTTTCTAGAGTAGCAGCCTCATACTGGTAAGCGATATGGTGGATCAGGTAGA